GGGTGGGGGGTGGGCCGTCTCAGGCTGCCTTCGCGCTCGGATGGCAGGACTGAGTAGCCGCGGCAGACGACAGACGGCGTCGCCCACAAGCCTGGAGCAGCCGCGCTCTGGCCTTTCACAGAGTGTGGGAGCCCTGCCCTGGAGCAGCTCGGCCGAAAGGGCTGCACCGAACTCAGTGGCTGAGACAGTTTAGTCCTCAGACTTGTAACAAGTTATATAACACAATAGAACACAAGCTGCACTTAGTGTGACAGATAGAACGGCAGGGGCCTCAGAACGAGGGCCCGCAGGTGTGGGTGAGCTCTGGGAGGGGGGTGTCCTCCTGGGACGGCCTCCCCAGGCGTGGACGCAGGCTGCAGTGCAGGTGCAGAGGCCCCGCCGGAGGCCACGGCCTGCTCGCTGAGGCTGACATCACTGTGGACATGCCGGTCGGCGGGCGCTGGCCCTTGAGGAAAGCGTGAAGTCAGGGCTGGAGGAAGCAGAGAGGTGGGCAGGTGATGACCCTTGACCTCTCCGACGTGTGGCTCCTCCCTGACGGCCTGTGCTGTGTCCCATTTCATGTGCCCCCACCAGGTGCCATCTCGGGACCCTCACCCCACCGTGACATGTGTGCAGAGGACCGTGGGTAGGGGCCCCGGAGGAGGAGGCCGGCTCTGTACGCAGTGGGAGGGGGCGGGAGGCTTCCCTCGTCTGAAGGGCTTGCCTGAAGCGAGGCAGGAGCAGCGCGGCCAGTGAGGGTCGCGATTGGACACAGTTATGTGTCATCCGTGCGCTCTCCGTGTCCTGACAGGGAAGCGCGTTCAGACGGGTGGACTGTCCCTCAGCCAGGGGACCGAGCCCGGCAGTGAGGCGCCGAGAGACCAGGGTGGGGAAGAGGATGGGAAAGGAGCCGCGGCAGCTCCCTCTCCCGCTTCACCTGAAAACTCCGTCTCACCCCAGAGCGAGGCTGCAGGAGGATAGGCAGGAGATGCTCCCAGGGGCGTCTTCCCAGCTGGGTGTGTGCAGGGCTGCGGGGATTCTGTGGGTCGGTTGGTCACTCCGGGCCGGTGACTTGGGCTGGACAGCGGTAAGACCTTGTTCAGGTCTCAAGAGGGAACATAGAGAAAACAGAGACGAGAACAGCCACGGACAATGAGAAGCCGGCCCGGGGCCGAGGCCTT